AATGTGCTACAATGTTAACATGTAAATAGTCTTTGTCTCTAGGTAATGGAGTCATATGTAGGGTTTTTTACTTCCTACTTTTTCACTCTTAACTACACTTCCCAGATTTCCAAAACAAGTATATATTTCTTTGAGAGTTAAAGTGAAAAAAAAATCACATTATGATGTGCCTTTCCTTAAGAATGCATTAATAATGTGGGTCATAAACTCTGTGGATTATGCTGCTCCTCCCACCTACAATTTTCTCTCTAGAACTAGGAAAATACATTTTCACAGATGAGCATATTCAGAAAACTTTCTACCCAATGTAGTGTCAGTTTACATCAAATTTAATTCTGCTATAAATAAAGCTAAACATATATTTAATAAAGGCATTTTTAAAGTAGATTCAAGATACTTATTATACATATTTTTAAATGATTTAAAATACGGTATGTATTAGCTTTGTTCTGTTATCTTATTGGTGATATGTTTTCTAAAAATAATTATAGCATAATCAAGTTTTATGAAGTATGACAGTGCCATTGCTTTCTTCAACCAATGATTTTCCTGAATAAACTTCAAGGATTTCATTTTACTTTTTGGTTTTACTTCCTTAGTCTCTATTATTGAAAGCAAAGTGTTAGTTCTGGATCTTGAGATTATAGACTATAAGGTGTAGCACGTGACTAAGTGCATATAAAGTGGGTGAGATGAAAAATAATTTATTCAAAGTTTAAAATGACAACACAGGCAGCTTCAAATGAGCAATACTGCTTTGAGTACCACAAAATATGAAGATTTTCTGTATAGAGATTTAAAACTGACCATACTCTTTGATCTAAGGAATGAAGACAAATATTTGGACATAAGGATGTTCAAAGTAGCATTTATATTTTTTATATTAAACACATTCTAACAAATAAAATATTAATAGTCAAATAAAATATGATCATCTTTATATTTCCAAATTATATAGTAATACAAAATTATTATTTCAAAAACATAGAGAAGTGTATTTATTTTAACATTTAGTTAAGAATCTGAAGGCAAGATATAAGTTGCATATAATATTTTAAGAAATCATCCACAAAAAATGAGAAAATAAGGTAAAATCTAATGAAATGCAATTTCTGCTTGATGCTCTTTATTTTCCAAACGTTCTATAATAAATATAAATTATTTTTATTATAAGGAAAAATCTCACAAGTAGAAAAAATCCTAAGAATCACTCAGAAGTTTTTTTAAAATGGAAAAATTTCACAGAGGAAACATTATTATTAAATTTAAATGACAGGTACCTGGGTTCATTAAGTTTTTCTAATTCCTCATATATTTGAAATGTGTTGATATTGATAATCTTCTGATCCTTTTATATTTCAGTTAGAAAATAAGCCTCAGAACTATGCAATTATAAACCATGGGTCAGCAAACTATGACCCATGAGCTAAATGTGGCTACAGCTTATTTTTGTAGTCATTGCAGGCTATGAATGGTGTCTACATTTTTAAAGAGTTGTTTAAAAAACAAAGCCTAAAATATCAACTATTTGGCCTTGGACAGAAAAAGTTTGCTAACCACAAATTTACTCCTTCATCCAGTACTCTGGGTTAGAAGTTACTCCAGAGTTTAAGAAAATTGTAACATAAAAATGTGCCTAATGCCGGGCTCGGTGGCTCAGCCTGTAAGCCCACGCCTTTGGGAGGCTGAGGTGAGTGGATTGCCTGAGCTCGCAGGTTCGAGACCCGCCTAGGCAGGCGAGACCTCATCTCTACAATAAATCAAAAAATTAGCTGGGCGTGGTAGCGCGCACCTGTAATTCCGGCTACTCGGAAGGCTGAGGTGGAAGGATCCCCGGAGCCCAGCAGGTCGAGGCTGCTGTGGCCGGGAGCGGTCACTGCACTCCAGACAGAGTGAGTCTCCAACTAAAAAACAAACAAACAAACAAACAAAAAGTGCCTAAAGACCAGGCTCAGTGGCTCAGCCTGCCTGTAATCCCAGCCCTTTGGGAGGCCATGGTAGCATGCACCTGTAGTTCCAGCTACTGGAAGGCTGAGGCGGAATGATCGCTGGAGCCCAGCAAGTCAACGCTGGGGTGGCCATGAGTGTGCCGCTGCACTCCAGCCTGGGCGACAGAGTGAGACTCAAATACACACACACACACACACACACACACACACACACACACACACACACACACACGACAGAAAAGTACTTAAACTTTCTTAAATTGGGTGCATCCTCTACCCAATTTAAGCACTGAGCCCTCACTCAGTTATTAATTCATTTGTTGATTCCACAAAGAGAGATGTTTCTGTCTTCATGAAGATTATTCTCATGGAGAAGATAGAAAATAAGCAAGTAAATAAATAAACAAAATAATAACAGATCATGGTAAGTGCCATGAATGTCATAAACCAGGCTGTGTGAAAGAGAATGGCAGGTAACCCTCTTTAGGCAAGGTAACACTGAAGCTGAGACTTAGAAGATGACAGCAAACTTTGCAAGGAGTCGTGGAAAAAATCAGCATCCCTGGCAGAGGGGACCACACAGACAGTACTCCTTAAACAAAATATTTGTAAAATACAGAACACTCTTGGGCAGTGAAGACATTAATAGGTTTTAATTTTGAAGACCTAGTAAGGTTACAGCAGATAAATAAGTGGGCTTCATCCCTTCCTTCCTCTATTAATCAGCCAAGAACCTGGTGCCTGGGAACCATCTCCCTAAAACTAGGAATGAAATACAGTCTTTAATTTCCACCCCCACACTTTGCTTTCCATGCACACTCTGTTCTATGTAGTTTCAATGCCACCATATGTTTTGATTCTAATTTGTTCAATTCTTCAATAAATACAAGTCATAACATATAAAGGATGGTGCTAGATCAACATAAGCCTAATTAGGATACCATTTCTCCTCCAAGCGTGCCCCCAAATTAAGCTGACTCCCCATCTCTCTGGTTTGGGACAATGTACTTAGGTAATTTTAATTGGGTATTTCTCAAATTGCATTTTTCTACAAATAATACACTAAAAATAAGTAAGTTTAGGGCCTCAGTTTCACTAATTGGCTTCATTAAGACTGGCTGCAGATGGAAAAACACTGTGCCATTCATATTCTCTTTCAACCACTGCACAAAAATCCTAGGGACAGAAATAGGAATTTGACTTCATGGTAAAATATAGCTCTAGGGTCCTACTTTTTCTTCTATTGCCTGTTCTCAGCACCTGCTCACATCCCTGCTATCCAAGGTCTTATGTCATTCACCAAGTGCATGGATATCAATTCTTTAAATAGGTAGAAATAAGCACAAGAACAGGATGGGACCAGCAGATCATCACAGGCATGCATGCTACCCTAAACTTATCATCCCAGTCACCCACAGGTCAACTTTATTTTAAATCTCAGAGGAAGTCTTGCTTCTACTAGTCAGAGATGCCACAGCATGATGTGGAAGGCTCTAAACGAAGGGGCAGTTCTATGAATTCCCTTTATGGAGGGTGTGTGTGTCTGCAACATTTGTGGGAACATTATCATCCCACGAAACACAAATGGGTTCCAGAATCTATTTCCAAATAGCAATGAATTTCTCCTCAAATAGCCTAATAGAGGGTTGGCTCTATGTGAGGTCTTCAATATAGCATTCAAAATTTTTGCTAACTATACATGATGGTGCTTTCACATAAACTAGAAGCACAGAGGTTTTCTATTTCATCACCTTAAAAACTGGTGTAAACTTCATGACCCAAATATGCAGAAATATGAATAGGTCTTCTGGACTTTGAACTGCTTGCAGGCAACTTCACAATTTTGTTGTTGTTGTTACCTGCTTGAGTCTAATCAGCAACCAAAAATAAGTAAATCTGCATCTTCAGAACCTAAAGGTTTGGCATTATGCGGTGCAAAGACAGCTTTCAAACACAGCTAGGCAAAGAAGAAATTAGTGAGATCACAGTCGTACAATTACAAATTTGAATGGGACTTCGGCAGGTAAGATCCTTAAGACATTGTTTCAGAGGTGCTGAGCAGGGAATTGAGATTATGTTAAATGATACTTTGTTACATCATTAAATACCCCTGAATCCTTTGGTGAAAGAATTATTCCACTTCCAGTTCTCTTTCAGGTTTTCTGATGAGGAAAATTAGTTATTGGAGGTATGTCTTAAACACCTTGTCCACCTCTGCTAATCTTTTCAAATTCTGAGAGCAGGACTAGGGCTCAGAGCTTTTAGTAGACAACTGTCTAGCTAGAAGCTAATCACGATTTTTCCTCTCTTGGAACTGTTTTTATAATTACCATTCTATTTGTCTATCATACTGATATTCCACTTACAAGAACAATGTATATGGGATGCCCTTTTTTGTATAAGTTTAACAAAGTGAATTTATGCAAAAAAGTCATTAAGTAATTAACAGAATAGTTATCAAGTGAATATGCAATGGGAGATACACTGATTTTTAAAATTACCTTTAAGGCTTCTATTGACTGACTCACAAAACATCCTAGGGACATTTTTCTACATTTAAACATGGTGTCAAAGTCAGCTTTTTTTTTCACAAACATCCTAACGTACCCACAGGACTACTGTAATCACCTACTCAACCATACTCCTATATAGACGAAGAAAAAGTCAAAAAAGATTTACTGCCATATCAAATCCCTCAGCTTGCCAGAAATTAAAATTTACAAAGGTGCTGGAAGGAGGATAATGACTGTATAAAATTCCTTACATGCCAAAAACCAAGTGCATTAGATGGTTTTATCCTTGGCATACGCTAAACTAGGAAAAGATAGAACAATTGCCCAAACCAAATGTTCTTTATGATGTCTTCATCTGCACATGGGAAGTTTTACATAACTTAATCAGATCCCTAGCTGCTATAAAAATAGTTGATTCAAAAAGGCAAATTGTTTCTGTAAGTAAACAAAAAATAACATAAACCCATTGAAAAAATTACGCAGTCTAAAGGATAAAAACCCAACATGGATTAAGAAATCACCAAAGCTTTCACTGACTTATTTCTTGGGAGGAATTTAGAGGTGCCTGTAGATTGAAGTAGTGTGTCAAGACATATGCCCAGAGCCAGAAATGAAGGTGAACATGGCAATTCCTGGCCACAAATAAAGCAAATATATGCTTTACAGTGTGAACTTTGCTGCAAAATGTAAATAAAGAGTCTTAGAAGTAAGTTGGCAGTTTACTTGTTCTCTTATGTAAAAACACACACACACATTCTCACAAAATGTTTCCTGGTTTCTAATCTTGTGTATTCTTGAGTTTAATATTCTTAATATTAAACTTAATAAGTTTCTTAATAAGTTTTAATGGCTAAAAACTTATGTTATAAAAAGCTTCACAAAACACATTACTTTAAAAAGTCTGTTTGCTTTTGACTGCTTCAAATATCGAGATTTCTAAGGGATGGCATGTAACATATAATCCTCCAATGTAAAGAGAAATTATTAAAAGATATAGTTAAATGCATTAACTTGATAACATAAATTGCTTCTGTACTTCCATAAGGCAACTAATAACTTAAGTTGAAATTAAGACTAATTTTCTAGGAAATAGATTTTTTTTTTTTTTTTTCAGTTGGAGTCTCACTCTGTCGCCCAGACTGGAGTGCAGTGGCCACTCCCGGCCACCGCAGCCTCGACCCGCTGGGCTCCGGCGATCCTTCCGCCTCAGCCTTCCAAGTAGCAGGAACTACAGGCGCGCGCTACCACACCCGGCTAATTATTTTGATTTATTGTAGAGGTCTCACCTGCCCAAGGGGGTCTCGAACCCGCGGGCTCAGGCAATCCACTCACCTCAGCCTCCCAAAGGCTCAGGATTACAGGCTGAGCCACCGAGCCCAGCTGGAAATAGACTTTTAATAGTCAATCTTCCAAAGATAAACAGGGTAATTTATGATTTGCTAATAGTTGTTTCCACAGAAAAACAATAGCATACCTTTTTTTAAAGATCAAATGTGAGAGCTTTGTAAAAAATGAAACAAACATTCAAGAACGAAAATCCATTTGTATCTTTATTCATGATTTTTGCCATAGATACATGCCACCAATAATATTATTACTTAGAATTCATTAAATCAATCACTATTTCTATTCAAATTTTTTAAAGATAAACTTTTTATCATTTATGTAAGTAGAAACCCATAGGTTTTATGTGCTAATTATATTTTTCTAATGTACATTAAAATAAATGCATAATTATTAAAACAAGAACCATTGGTCTATAATATCTCACAAACCACAGTTTGAGAAATACTGGGTTGTTGATGATAAAACTAAATTAATATTTGAGTATTATATTGACGTCCTAACTTTTCCTCTGCTTCTAACTCTAATTCCATATTTCTATAAAATTTTGACAACCCATGTAGTCTTTAATCACAATTATTATTATTGTCTTTTAGGAGAATAATATCTGGTATTCCTATTGCTTATAACTTGCAAGAATTATGGAAAGTAGCTAATAAGAATAATACCAACCTTCAGAGTATATTAGGTTAAATAAATTCAGGTTTCTGAATTTCAGACTAAAACCAAATTTTACCGACATAAAGTCAAGTGAAGGTGAACAAACTGCACAAAATAGACAATTATCTTTTACGTAGAATTAAGACAATGAATATTCCTTATAGCACTGTCTGTTGTTCTCAGGCAACAAAAACTTTTCTAAGAGACTGAAGGTAAAATTGCATCTAAGAGTGTCCTTCTGGTACATCTTAAGGCCCCTTAGGCTTCTCTAAACTCTATCCCATAATGAGGGATTCAGTATATAAGTAGAGTATAACATAAATAATATATAATAGCAACTTTTATTCGGTTCAAATACAGTATAGACTCATGAATCACAATAGACAAAGTCCAGAGAGATGCTACTGATGCATTGGTTTCAGCTCTGAGAATCGTCCACAGGAGTCTGGCCACAACACAACTGTTCTGAGTATGGCCCTGGTGACAGGCAAGCTTGTGAAGGCTCAGACTGCCACTGAGCATGAGCATGGTAGATTGGTCAGACCTGAGGAAACAGGGGCAGGAATAAATACAAACTTGGTCAATTGGAAAATGGATTGGAGAACATCGGAAATCAGTTTGGTTATGAAAAGTACACAATTTCTTCCTCTAGGAGAGAGAGGGGAAAAACAAACCAAATATAACCACAAACATGATTACAAATTTGGAATATAAAATTTCCATTCTCAATTTCCATTAAAGAAATTGAAATTTCTCTTCAGGGGGGAAAAAAACTAATGAGGGTTCATTAATCAATGTCCTACCAATTTATGAATAGCCTCATTTATGGAAAAAAACAACCATCTGGTCTCCATGATGGGTGAAGTTGAACAAGAAAGTAGGTGTAGCATACAACATGAGGAATTACAAGGTTGAGAAGAAAAGTCATCACAACTTTTGAATCTTGTAATGCCATACAGTTTGCCAAATTGAGAATCATAAGACTTTTATTCTAGTGGTCTCTGCAACAAATTAAACCAGTGTGATATTAGACAAGTCATATCTCTGGACTCAATTTCCTCATCTGTAAAATGAGTATATTGGGTTAATATAAAAAACAAAGAAAAATAATGTCACGACTACAAGCATGAACTTAGGATTCAAATTTTGTCTCTACTGCTTACCACTTGTATGAATTCAGATACATGCTATGCCTTGGGTTCCTCATCTATAAAATGAAGAGTAATATCACCCTCATAGGTTTACTGAGATTAAATGAGTTAATACATGTAAAACACTCAGCAGCATGCCTAACTCAATTGAGATTAGCTGTTGTTTTTGCTGCCAATACTATTATGTGCAAGTAACAGAAGCTAACTTTGGCTGGCTAAGCAGAAAAGAGTATATTAATAGGGTTTTGATTTACAGAAATGTTGGGTTTGGAGAATCAGTTCCAAGAGTATGCTTTGAGGAAAAAATTCCAAAACCACATCACATATTTGTCATGATAAGAAAATGTATCTACCATCTCGGAACACTCAACATTGAAGTTTACAACATTGTGATTACTTCATCAGAACTCAATTATACTTTGCAATAACCATAATTGTACCAGCTGCAAGGAAAGCTGAAAAATCAAGTACTGTTATTTTAAAATACTGTATGAGAAGACATTGTTGCCCAGATTTCCCAAGATGGATAATAAGTTCAGACATTGAGTGGCCAAAATGTACTCATTTCATTCAAATGTCACGCTAAGACTTGTTGTTCAGAATGATTCATTGAAGAAGTTTGTGTGGTTTTTATCCAATGTCAAGAAAATGGTAGATGCAATCTCTTGAAGGCTCTATTGCTCCATCATGAAGGACCTGAAATATCTGTGACAGAAGGAATTTCCAGATACTCTTGTCATATAAACTGAGTTACTTGGTAGGCTCAGCATTCAATATTTAAATTAAAGTCACTGGATTTATAGTTAGAATTCTGTCCTCAATTTTTAATTTACATAGCTGAACATTTTTACCCATTTGTATATAACTAGAGAGAAAATCATTTCCAAGTCTTTGATTGGAAAAATAAAAGTTCCCAGAGTTTAATGAACATTCTGTCATGAAAAACACCAATCTATATTCTTTTATTCTGAACTATTAATACATTTGTGCTGCTGTGGAGAATGTATCCTATTGGGAGGACATAAGCCAGGAGGGAAAATAGCAGTTATAATTGGGCTTTATCTATTTTAAACTCCTCAACTATAAAAATAGTTCCTGAAATACCAGCAATTCAGAGCCCAACTGTCCTTTTCTGAGTAATGGACAGCTATTCTAACTTCATGACAGACCCAGTGCCTGTCTTAAATTGGTCTGGACTTCCACCGCTGGTGCATTCCAGGCTCAGTAGGTGGTTCCCAGAGTAAATCTCCCCTACTGTGAGAACTTTTCAGGCCATCTCTGAACCATCAGATTCCTTGCAGTCCCCAAAAATATTATTGGGGTGTTTTTTTTAAGTATTTATAGAAATCACAGAAAGACAATAAGCTTTTCTGCTAATCATTGCAGATCATAAGCAGACAAATTCTCCTACACACGATATGCACAAAATAGATGGGGAACATTTTTAGCAATGATGGCAATCAAGAAAGTTGAAGAGAAAAAAAAGATCATTCAGCTGGTTGCCTATTTATTTCAAACTCTCAGACAAAGCTTCTCAAGCAGAATTTTAGGAATTACCACTTTACTATTATGGGATGAAGTGGTTTCCTCAACTTCAAGGGCAAAAATACTGCCAAATATATACTAAATTTATTCCAATAATCTATTGAATGTTACAGATGTCAAAGATATACACAAATGGACTCAGTGGAATCACTGTCACCCAAATGGAGAGAGTTGGCCCAGGGACGACAATAGTTTGGCAATATAGGTTGAATATCTTTTATGTGAAATAGTTGGGACCAGAAATGTTTCAGATATGTTTGGAATTTCAAATGTTTGCATATACATAATAAGATATCTTGGGGATTGAATACAAAGTATAAACATGAAATTTGTTTCATATACAACCATATATACCTTGTATACCTTATATAGCCTAAGGGTAATTTTATACAATATTTTAAATAGTTTTTTGCATCTGTCCCACAAGGTCAGGTGTGGAATTTTCCTCTTGTAGCATCATGTCAGCACTCAACAATTTCAGATTTTGGAGCATTTCAAATTTTGGATTTTTGGATTAAGGATGTGAGATATGTTCTTCCAAATATTTTGCGTAAGAAAATGATTGGAAATTGAAAATGATTTTAAGTGGCACAGAATTTGCTATTTAATAGCATAATAAATTTTTTCATAAATAAAAAATATTTTAATGTAGGCATCTGTTTCAAGCAACTTTCATATATCAAAGGAGAAAATGTAGAAATTAAACTGAAGCCTGACTCTATGGGTTCGAATCCTGGCTTTTCCACTCCGTAACCATGTGACCTTGGCAAGTTACTTCCTCTCTCTAGGCCCTGGTTCCTTCTGTAAAATGGGATAATAACAGTCCCAATCCATGCTGTTGGTGTAAGGATTAGGACAGTATCTAGCATGCAGTAAGCACTATGAAGGTATTTGTTAGAAAATAAAAAATAAAGTCTTTAACCTCTCTGCAAATATCAATTTTGCATTTTTTAAGGAAATTCCTGGTTGAGATACAGACCACTAAAATATTAAGATTTTGTTTCCTTCTTCTATAAGCATAAGATATTTCATTTCTAAGACTTCTCAGGGATACCAAAGTTTTGCTACTGGACAAGCCTACAAGAATATTAGGGAAGAAAAAAAATCTAAGAACTGTTTAAGCAAAAATTTAAATACTCAGTAAGATGGAAAATACGCTGTTGTTCAAGGCATAAAAGTAAGCCAGGTAAGGTATAAGACTCATATGACATCATTTTTATTATTATTATTATTTTTAGAGGATCATGATATGGCTTATGAGGAACTTAAAAAGTGAGCAGGGCCAGGTGCACTGGCTCATGCCTTTCATCCCAGCAGTTTGGGAGGCCAAGACAGTAGAATTGCTTGAGCCCAGGAGTTCGAGACCAGCCTGAGCAACATAGCAAGATCTTATCTCTACCAAAAAAAAAAAAATCTAAAAACAAAACAAAACAAAAAAACTAGCTGGGCATGGTGGCACACACCTGTATCCCAGCTACTCAGGAGGCTGAGGCAGAAGGAAGCATGATCATAGATATCAGTTAAATACTGTGATCCAAAAAGCCTTTGTGTTAACATATAAAATAATGGAGAAAGACTCAAATTGTTATATGTAAAGATTTAATAGTGATACTACAGGCTGCTTTACTTTTATTTTAAACAACAAACAGCTAGCACACAAAACAACATCTTGAAGGAACTAACATAACGTCTTTTAAAAATAAACATGAAAAAAATATTTGGAAAGGCAGGCTGAAACTTTTAACAGTGACTACTTCTAAGGACGGGTAGGGTAATATATTGGGAAATTTTTCTATTTTTACTTTATACAACATGTATCATTTTACAGCATAAAACTTCTTAAAATATTAATTATAAAAGTTAGTAATAAACTCCTGGACTCAAGAGATCTTCCCATCTCAGCCAGAACAAAATCTGGTGTTCTATACTACTGCAGGATGTCTATAGTTAACAATCACATACTGTTTCAAATAGCTAGGAGGGAGATATTGAATGATCTCAACACAAAGAAATGATAAATGTGTGAGATGATGGATATAATAATTACCCTGATGTGATCACTATATATGGGTCAAAATACCACTATGCACTGCACAAATGTGTATAATCATTATTTGTCAATCAAAAAGAAAAAAATTGCAAAAAGAAGTTGGTAAATCATACTGACATTCAGTTCATTTTTTTCCTCCAAAAATCATAATAATATGTAATGACAAAGAACATTGTGTCTAAGAGAAAAGTAATTTATTTGCCTTTCCCCAGCAAATGAACTAGTTCAGATCAATAGTGGTGGGTTGACCTATATATCACTTGGGGTTGAAGCTGTTTTTAGGTCATTAACCCCTAGAAATACAAAAACAGCACTGCAAAGAAACAGCAATGCTATGCCTCCCCAAAATGAATATTTGTTAGGACAAAAAGGGGAAAAATATAATTAATTCTATTTGGACTAAGAACATTATTGCTCCCCACATAAAGAGCCAACATTAATAAATACCTCTCTCCATCTTGTCAGCTTTGGACAGATTTAAGTGCTTCCCCAGTCAGTTCCCTCCTCTACGTGTGTGTTTTTGTTTTTGTTTTTGAATATGGTCTTCTTTAGACATCATATTGTCTTTCTCAGCATAAGAAACAAGCCAAATTTGTAGGCAAGAAGGGAACTCATAACTACTGGTGAAAGATCTTGTGCCAAAAGCTATGCCATGCATAATTGGTGTGATACCTTCTGTAAGTCAGCTAATTTTATTCTCACTTTGCATATGAGCAAACTGAGGGTCTAAGAAGTCATTTACCCAAGCTCCCACAGCAAGTGAGTAATGGAGCCAAGCAGTCTGGCACCAGGACACTTAACCACCAAACCGCACAGCTCTCAACATTAAATCAGAGTCCCAGATTTAAATTATAGTCAAATCCCTTGATGACCAGGTTTTGGTGATTTTATATGACAACAGAAAAAAAATAGTAACTCTTTAATTTGCTTAAAAAGATAGATCTCTTAAGTGTTCGTACCACAATAAATAAAATTTAAAAAAAATAATAGCCCCTTATATTTGCCCAGCACTTTGCAAGTTTTAACAGTGCTTATCTCAAGCAAGCAGCAGAAGCACAGAACATGGTTTTATAATCCACAATCCACATAAAAGAGACCTCCATTTTTCTCTTCTAATCAGTCAAGTATTATTACAGTTAATGATAAATATGTTCCTTATTCTGAAATAACTGAGAAATAATCCAAGGAAGTTGAACTAAAGAATGTATCATTTTGTTCTCTCTTGCATACTTGCCCTGGATTTTCAGGAAAATGGACAAAGAAAATATGGTGGCCCTCCACCAGGCTGGGATACTGCACCTCCAGAAAGGGGCTGTGAAATTTTTATTGGAAAACTTCCCCGAGACCTTTTTGAGGATGAACTTATACCATTATGTGAAAAAGTGAGTCCAAATTTAACATTTAATTTTTTTTTCACTTTACTTTCATGCTCAACCTTCTTGACCAGTAATGGTTTCTCTTCTAATTGCCATTTCCTAATCATGGACAAAGTTAAAACCTTCCTGGTTGTTAGTGATTATTCCTTTATTATCTCTGCCTTGGCCCAGTTCTTTGTCCTGTTACTGGTAGCTTGAACTACAATTGCTAATAACTTTTAAATCTGTATCTCGTTCTCTAATCTCTCCACTGACATGACCATCTGCAAACTCATTGTGTCCATCCATCTACAATAACAGTACATCAACTTGTCTAAATTAGATACTGCTCCAACTTGACATTTTATTATGACTTTGCAATGTGAAATATTTTCATTAAAAAGAATGTTTATGTTTTTCATGGTGCAAACATTTGCCTATACATATTAATGCGGATTGAAATTTTCTCCCACAAGTCTGAATTTATTTTTGAACTTAATGCATCAAGAAAACTAAGAACATGGTTTCTCAATGTTACTATATACTTATTAAGGAATTAATTCCCTTTGTTTTAATTCAAATGTACTGTTTGTTGTTACAATATAAAATATAAAATATAGAATATAAAATTAAATTTTATTTCTAATAGTTTACCAAGTAGCTTTTAGCAGCAAGCACATTCTTGAAAAATTTAGTAAATATGAGAATTCAACGCTTTCCCTAAGAGTATGTATGTGTATATGTGTGAAACTCAGCCTTAGATTCAGAACATCTAATTTTATACATAAAGTTCCATCTGACACATGGACAAATTATGGGAACTTAATTCTGTAAGAATCTTATATAGTAAATCTGAAAGTGAACACCAAGAAACACCCAAAACACAGAGATGAAATGTGCTCAAACTCCCAATGGACTCAGAAGAAATAGGTATCCATCACTGAACACTATAGGGTGGGATGAGACTGAGTTGAGGAGCAACCAATCACCGAGGCAATGGCATATACTTAATGACACCTCTCTCCAGACATGTCCATTGTGTCTATTGGCTTTTGACAGCAGTCAGCAATAGTAAATTGCTGAGTCTAAATTGCTGCAGGACAGATGTGGTGGTGAGAGGAGGCACATTATGGGTAAACAGAGTCACTGTCGCCGGGGGGATAGAGTGAGTGCTTTACTACACAGGTCCTGGCCCTGTGTCTGCTATATTAAGACTAGCACTTGCCTCGAACCTGACTGAGAAAAAGACAAGGCTCCCCAGATCATCCTCTGAAGCACACCTATGTTCATTTTGATGTCATGGCAGGGGGAGAAGACAGCTAAGAAGTTAGTTTAACAAGGTTCCAGATGAGCATTCTTGGTTTTTGTTTTACATATCGATGATAGAGTAGCCCCAAGTGGAGATCAAACTATGGAGACTTCAGAGGCCAATTTAGAGGGCATGAACAAACTAAGAAGTTGTACTTATGATGACAAATTGTGGTTTCAGGTACCTAAAATGTGGCATAAGCCTCCAGATAATTATGTGATGAAAGGTCATTTACTCTATCAAAAACATATTCTGTTAACTCAGGCTGAAATGCCACTTGTACACATTTTATTTACTTAACTTGACTTTTCCCATGAGTCAGATAACTGATCTGAACCCAGCATGAAAATATGCAAACCATTCCACATGGAATACAAATGCCAAGTCATACTAGCAGAAGGGAGACTTCAGAAAACATTGTGTGTATGTGTGTGTAGAGGAGTAGGGCAAGTGTGAGTGGGTAGATAGGTGCTTGTGCACATTCATTTGGAAGTATAAATATGAATTTTCTGTTTTCATTATTTATAGATTGGTAAAATTTATGAAATGAGAATGATGATGGATTTTAATGGCAACAATAGAGGATATGCATTTGTAACATTTTCAAATAAACTGGAAGCCAAGAATGCAATCAAACAACTTAATAATTATGAAATTAGGTAAGATCCACCTCTTCTAGATTAAAAGTGAATTCAACAATGCTCCTGCATCTGTTTTTCTATTCAGTTTATCTAATACAGCATATGCAAAATAGTGGCCAAACTAGAAAAAAAAGGTTTGTTCTTTTCCTTGATGAAAATAATTTTAATTAAATATTTACTTAATAATATATGAGGTACCAAACTAAGTTCTGTGAAGTATTTGAAGAAATGTATTAATTTCTCTATTTCACAAACATGTGTGAAATGCTGTCCAAAATACTGGAAATATATCAAGGTACAATTTCCTTTCTTTGTAATAAATTTTTAAATTTATAAGATTTCTTAAAATTATATGAAAAAATAAAACCAGGGATAGTATAAAGTTGGTGAATCTGTAGCAGCTCTAACAGTCGTGACAGTCAGACCTGGGAATTACATCAGGAAAAGAAGGAACATCAAATGCAAAGTTCCCAAAACAAGAACAAGCTTGATATGTTTCAGGAACAGAAAAAAGCCCATGCAGCAGGACAGAGTAGAGAGAGAGGAGGACTGAAACAAGTTGGAAAGCCTTGTTCTCTGTGATGAAGTATCTGAATTTTCTTCTAAAGAAAAATGGGAAACCATAGGAGGATTTTTATTAGATTTATTGTTTTTTATTGGTTGCACAGAGTCATTTATGTCCTGGAGCCCTCCTCTGGTCCCATAGTTTGAAGTGCTATCTATATCTGGCTAACATCAAAATTTATATTCCAACTCTGACCTCTCTCCTGACTCTGCTATCATTCAGACAGTCACCTCTTTAGCATCTCTCCTAGGATGTCCAAAGTGCATTTCAGATGTAAAGTGCCCCAAACAGAGCCCTTCCTGTGCAATTCCTCCAGGCTTTTCCATCTCAATGGCACTCCACATTCACAGATATGTCGACCAGTATCCTAGGTTACCTCCCTGGATTCTGAATTCTCTCATAATCTAAATCTTTATCTAGCCAGTGTTGTCTACCTTCCAAAATGTATCCCAGATATGGTCTTTTATTTCCATCTGAAATGCACATTGGACATCCTAGGAGAGATGCTAAGGAGGTGACTGTCTGAATGATAGCAGAGTCAGGAGAGAGGTCAGAGTTGGAATATAAAATTTGGGGTTAGCTAGATATAGATAGCACTTCAAACCATGGGACCAGAGGAGGGCTCCAGGACATAAATGACTCTGTGCAACTAATAACCAGCCTTTTATACATGGAAAATAGGGATGACTTCATGAAATTGTCTGAGTCCTAAAACCTTCATTTGGAGAGAGCACTACCATAAATATTTTCTCAGAGGAAGCCCTGATCTACCTGGGAGGAAGATTAGTCCAGCAGTTAAAAAGCAATAGTCTTGGGGTCATCCAGTCTTCATCTAAGTGCCAGCAAATAACTTAACCTCTCTGAGCCTCAATTTCCCATCTATAAATTGGAAATAATATCCATTTCATAGGTTTTATTATGGAGAATACTATAAATATTTTAAGATGCTTTACCCAGTGTTTGGAAATGAGTAGTCAGTTGACATATGATAAAACTATTACATTCTGACACAGTTTATCAATTCTAGAAGCAGTTTTTCACATCTATTTTCTTTCCAAAATAGAGATGCACCTTAAAATTGATGGGATCTTAAATTGGATGAATGCAGGAAGAACAGATTTCCCACCATACTTTTCTCCTACTGCGATGGCCCCAAATAAGTCACACATTATTCTTATAATTCTATAAATCAGTTAACTATTGAGTCATTTTTCTTAAACTCCTGAGCCACAGAAAGAACAATTAGATTTGGCAACTACTAGTAGCCTAGCCATTCAGTTCCTAGGTTGCACTCTAGAACAGAGTGTCAGAAAAAAATATAAAGGGGGCTCCCCTTCCACATATGCCTTCATGGACCCAAAACAGCTCCGGGTGGTATGTGGAAGATTGTCTGCAGTAGGAATCAGGAGAACCTGGGGTCTAGTTCAGGTTCCTTTGGCCAAATCCTCTAAGCTCTTTGATCAGCATTTTTATCATTAGCACCTGATTATGCAGAGATGTTCTGAGCATCCACCATATAAGATAACATACACTAAAGTGCTTTGAAAGAGCTACAAAATACTGTATTTTTAATATAGCTTTTCAGTATTACAACTATATGATTTCAGGGATTAGAAGATTCCCCATTCCTTGGTCTTTTATGGAACCAGTACATCCTAACAGCAAGAGTTATTCCCAAAATGGCTTTTGAGTTGAGATGGATGTAGAATTGGCTATGAAGGAAACCAACAGGATTTGTTGTATCTACTTAACATAACATTACCCACTGGGACCCATCTATACTTTTTGACAATGAATAACGAATACAATCAATCCACCACCGTCACAGATAATTAAAAGTATCCTCTGCGAGTTTCAATGTCTTCATCAGTAAAACAGAAATAAAATATACCTACATCATGGGGGTGTTATGAAAACTAAGTGGGATAATGCACATGAATCTTAGTGCCTGACTTATATCAGGTGCTCTATAAGGGTTTGTAAGTGGTGATGGAGGAGGAAGAAGGACAAGGAGGAAAAATAAGACAAAGAATTTGTAAGTAGAAAATTAGTGACTGAGATTCCAACTAAAACTCAGATTGGACTAACTGGGCAACATAGTGAGACTCCCATCTCTACAAATATTATTTTTTTAATAGCTGGGCATAATGGCAAGCACCTATAGCCCTAGCTATTTAGGAGGCTGAGGTGGGATGATTGCTTGAGCCCAGGAGTTCGAGGTTGCAGTGAGTTATGATCGTGCCACAGCATTCCAGCCTGGCTCAAGTTGGATGCCAGAAACAAGATGAAGGCACAGAGTTACTTTATAAATTAGGGGGTAGAATAAATGGAATATGATATAGCAGTATAGAGACCCCAGAGCCAAACTCACCTACTTCCCCTATGAGTTGGGTTAGTCCTGCCAGAGAGAGAACCTTTCCTGTAGAGAAGAGAATAACCTTCCATTAGCTTTTAGCCACCATTTCTCAGGGGATAAAGCTACCCACAGTTGTTATACTCTTCACCATTCACTGAACATAATCTAAATGCCTGGCTTCTGGAGACATCAAAGTCATGCCCTCAGCTTTTGAGAGATGGCTTGTTGTCTCCAAGTAATTTTGGAAAAAGTACGTGACAAACCACACACATTTAAAAATAGGATATGAAACTCTAGGCTCCCCCTGCTGGTAACTGATATGTGACCAGGCCCTAAGTATTAAAAACAATATAACATATAACTTCTAAATAAATTATATCTTGGAAGATAGGATTTTTGTTTTCTAAAAATGAAGTTTTAAAAAACTGGATCATTTTAGCCACCATTCTATCCTCCCAAAAAAAAAAGAAATACTTCTCTAGGGGCAATGCTACTAGACCGAGATGGACCTGTCACAGCTCTGACACGTGGTCCTTGCTTCTTCAGCAAAGCCCAGGCAGCAACTAGAACAGTGGTCCTAACCTGCTCACACAGCCGAGAGCCACTAGTTTCATGAAATTTCAGATCAATCTCCACTCACCTGGCAGAGAGCTTTTATTCATGATAAGTGAGTAATTTCTGTTAAGGATATCTTACCCATTTTTAATAATTTTGTGTTATTATAAAAGTTCTACAGCCTAATATGTAACACATAGAAAACAACAAAAAGCACATAGTTATGATAGTTAAAATCAATACCATTACCAAAAAAAGTAATCACTATGTTGACATTTTGTCTTTCCAGATTTTCTACACATTTTTATTCAAAATAGCCTTCCCATATATTTTTTTAGCAGTCTTTTTTTAAAACCAGCAGTATACTGTAAACTGTGTTTTTTTAACTGGTAAATATTCCTCTACATTGCTATTTTTAATGATTGCAGAAATTTCTGTGGTACAAATATCCATCTTTTGGATACCAGTGATTCTCAATCAGAAACAATACTATTCACCCTAAAAGACATTTAGAAAGATGAGAAGGCAATTTTTGGATGACCTCATGGGTCATTATTGGCATTTAGTGGGCAAGAATCAGGGATGATAAACATACTACGGTATACAATAAGGAAATGTTCAATCTCAAGGCCAATAACATCTCATTTGAGACACATTAAATCAGTTCTTTACTGGGAGGAATTTTGCTCATTTCCAATTAGGAGGTTATTTTAAACAGCAGCAGTGAATATCCTTAAATATAAACCTTGGTGTTCATCTTTATTTCCTATGGAAATAAGTAAGAAAACACATTCCTAGAAGGGGCATTATTTGATCAAATTTGTGCACACTTAAGACTTTTGATACATTTTGCCAAATGTCCTCCAGAATCACTTAATCAATCTATACTCTGCCAATAAAGGTATACTTCAACTTGCTAATAAACAACTCTGTACGGTGAAGGAAACAGTGACTGGGATTCCAGAGGTCAGGTTCATTCCTTACAAATCTATATATTCTTAAGAAGTCGGTTAATTTCTCAAAGTCTCAAGTTCATCTGTAAAATGGAAGTAACTCCCACTCTGCCCATCTCCCAGGATCTTGGTATGAGCCAAATAAGATAATATGTGAAAATCTGTTCAAGCATAAGTGACTATTTTTAATAGAGATCATCTGAGAACAGCTTTTCTCTTTGGCTAAAAAAGAAAGGGAACTTCAGGGGTTGCAAACTCAAATGCTTGCAGGGCCAGGCACATGCTCTGAGGAATGTGGGCCAGGTGTCTAGTTTGTACAGGCCTCATTGTTGGGGATGCATCAGAGAGTGGTGAACACTGGGGACAACTGGTGAAGCCACATTCAATCTAAGAGAGCAGATGCTGCTCAACTTGAAATAGCCGGGCGTGGTAGGGTGCCTGTAGTTCCAGCTACTTGGAAGGCTGAGGCGGAAGGGTCGCCGGAGCCCAGCAGGTCGAGGCTGCGGTGGCCGGGAGCGGACACTGCATTCCAGTCGGGGCAACAGAGTGAGATTCCAATTCAAAAAAACAGAAAAAAAAGAAAAGAAAATGTAGAACCTATGTTGACACATTTAAGGATCTCACTAAAGAAGCCACAACTCTCCAAAAATGGTTTCAGCATGATGAAAACCAAACACCTCATAACTGCAGGCCATATCTGGCCCAGCACTATACATTTTCAATCTCTGTCTCAACCTCAATCCCACAGGATTCTCTTCAACCAAAATGCCTGCTCTGTTTTTTTTTTTTTTTTTTTTTTTTTTGCAGAAATGGGCGTCTCTTAGGGGTTTGTGCCAGCGTGGACAACTGCCGATTGTTTGTCGGGGGAATCCCAAAAACCAAAAAGAGAGAAGAAATCCTATCGGAGATGAAAAAGGTCACTGAAGGAGTTGTTGACGTCATCGTCTACCCTAGTGCTGCAGACAAAACCAAAAACCGGGGCTTTGCCTTTGTGGAGTATGAAAGTCATCGGGCAGCAGCCATGGCCAGGAGGAAACTACTACCAGGTTAGCAACTCCCTCCTCAGAGATGAGACTTCTCCACTCCAACCTGCCTCAGCAAAAAAAAAAAAAAAAAGAAAGTTTGGTTTTAGAGTCTTTTTTGCTCTATATCTTTCGTTATGTTGTATTTTAAACTCTTCATCCTTCTTACTGTTGATTCAGTTCCCTGAAGTTTTCACAGACTCCGTTTTTGAAAAATCTTCATTCTGTGCATTGAGCCTAATTTTCATATGCTGGAGAAATCCAGAACTTTAAGTGATAGTAATCCTGTAATGAATACTCAAAGAGTCTTCTTAAAATTAAATATATCAGCCAGGCGCAGTAGCTCAAGCCTATAATCCCAGCACTTGGGAGGCCGAGGCAAGAGGATTACCTGAGTCCAGGGGTTTGGGATCAGCCTGGGCAACTTGGTGAGACCTCGTCTCTACAATAAATCAAAAATTAGTTGGGCATGGTGGCATGCACCTGTGGTTCCAGCTACTTGGAAGGCTGAGGCAGAAGGATCACCAGAGCACAGCAGGTTGAGGCTGCAATGACTGTGAGCATGCCACTGCACTCCACACTTTAGCCTGGGCAACAGAGTGAGACTCCAATTCAAAAAAAATTAAATATATCAATTATAGTTATTTTTGTGTATAGATTTTATCAGGCTTATTAGAAATAGAGTATTTTATCCATCACACTATAGAACACATAAACCTCAAATGATAATTATCCCAATGATTCTCAAATGATATGCCTAATAATATGTCTAATTTGAGAAAATAGAAATAAAAGTTCTCCTTAGAAAGGTACCTTTCCTTGTTAGGTGCTACAGCCACAGGGTAGGTCCCATTTGGGCAAAAATCATCAACTTATGAGTTTAAAAGACTCTGCCCTGACACTGCCTCGGTCAGATCAACATAGGAAAAATTGTTTTACAGTCATTGGCTCATTCTAAAATATTCACTAAAACTTGCCCAGAATCAGGTATTAAAATGAATTAATATTAACATAAGAGGATATCAAGAATGATAGATTGCATATATGAGAATTAACTTTTCTCATACATTTATAGGGGAGCCACCAGAATTCAAAACAAAAGCAAACAACCGCAACAAAGATATCTAGATTTAAGTTGCCCTTACACACATCCTTGAAAACAGTAGTAGATCAGCCCTCTAGAAATTCTAAAATTGGAACATAGTTTCTAGCTTGGAGAAGATTTTTCAATAATATTTTCAAGAAGGCAGCTTAAAGTAAAAAAAAATAAGTGAGAGTTCCAAAAATGGCTGAATATTTAGACAGGAATATATTTTTTAATGTTGAGGCTTTTATTCACGACTTCTTAATTCTTCACTACCTGGTGGTCAAGATACCTGAATCACAGGCCCAGAGATAAACTCACTAATACTCCTCATGGTGACTTGGGCTTAACATTTTGCTATCTGCTTCAATTCTTTTCTCTTCTTCCACAATGACAATTCTACCATTGAAAAGTCTCTTGTATCCATCCTGTCCAGCATTGTAGTCTAAACACATGTATTCTAAAATGTGGGCAATTTTTTTCAAGATCTAATTATTCTCTCAGCTCTGCCCTCTCTTTGATGCACCCCACCCTCTGCCTATACCATCTTGAACATTACCACCTGAGTGATGTTTCAAAAATATCCTATTATTCTTTCAATAAGTGTTCTATATCCATCAATAGGCTAAAGGGTGTTATTCACTGGACAATAATATTCATCAACTCTTCACTGCATCTAAGGACTAAGTCTCTGAACTTTTTATGTCCATACCCAACCCTTTACAACCACATTAATTACCTTCTGTTTTCTAGCAAAACTCTCCCATTTATCAACACAGACTCCTCAGTGTCCTGGATACCACCATGCTCATGTATGTCTCCTCTATTCCTAATACTGTATCCTCTACTAGAAACACCCGCCCCTCCTTCTCTCGCAGCTCAGCCAGCAACTCCTTGAGAAACCCACTGCCACTATTCCAGACTGAATTAATCATTCTCCTCCCTTAATTCAAACAGCTATTCATGATCTGTAAAAACAGATCTGTACAATCATTTTGTGGGTGGGGAGGATGACAGCGAAAGAGAGTCCAAAATGGATGAAACGTGGTTGTCAGGGTCCAAACAGACTCTCTTGGAGAGTCTCAACCTCCTGCAGGCTCCCCCACCTCTTCAAAGAATAAGGCACAGAACCCACCAAAGGAGCTTCTGTCTCTACATAAGTCAAACTGACTAGGCCAGGGAGGGCTGAGTAGTGGGGTTTCTTTGTTTTGCTTACACCCATGGTCCTGACTTTTCTTTATGGATTCCCTGTTGAGGATCGACTCTAGAAAGGCTACCACACTCACTGCCCATATCCATCACTATCCAAAGAAAAACCCCCTCACCTATGGCCCTTTGAGCTAGCCTAAGTTGGGTTTCACCCAGCTGGATTTTAGTCCAATGGTCCCATCAGCAAACCAACAAGATGAAGCACAGTGGTAAATGAGTCTCACTCTGTCACCCAGGCTGGAGTGTAGGGGCACGCTCAAGGCCATTGCAGCCTCGACCTACTGGGTTCAGGTGATCCTTCCACCTCAGCCTTCCAAGTAGCTGGAACTACAGGCACACATCACCATGCCTGGCTAATTTTTTGACTTATGGTAGAGATGAGGTCTCACCAAGTTGTCCAGGCTGGTCTAGAACCCCTATGCTAAGGCAATCCTCTTGCCTTGGTCTCCCAAAGTGCTGGGATTGCAGGCATGAGTCATGGTGACTGGCCAAACTGTCTCACTTCTAATGAGACCTTCAGAATAAATCCAGTTACTTATTTGGATCACTCTACCTGTTACTCCACTGTAGACATGATAACAAAGAATTTTGGCAATAGCCAACCCTCTGGAGAGACTAGTTTTTAAAAAACAACAAGATTATTAAGACAAATGATAAACAAGGGCCTCAAGAAACTTTTTCTTCTTAATTGATTCAGACTTGGAGGCAGAGAGAAAACTGTTGTCTAAAGGGATGTAACTACCCCCCAGCTACTTACCTCTTCTCTATACAGTAGCTGTTTCCTCCTGACAAATCTCATCTCTGTTGAGTTGTTCATGGGACAAAGTTGTTGTATACAATTCAGAGAACAGGAAAGTATGCTAAAGATGCTCTGAAAGAAAGTTCTATCAGTGATTCTCAGCTTCAGATTGCATCAGAATCACCTGGCAGGCTTGTTAAAACATACATAACTGGACTCCACTGCCAGAGTTCTTGATTTAACAGGTCTGGTGTGAGGCCAGATAATTTGCATTTACAAGTTCCCAGAAAGCAACTATTCCCGGGACCACATGTTTGAGAACATGCGATCTAAATCACTAATTCTCCATCCTGAGCTGCATATTAGAATTACCTGAGGATGTTTTCAAAGAATACCAGTACCCGTTTCAACCTCATCAATTGAAGCTGTTTCGCTAGGGTATAGCATTGGGGTACTGGTGTTTTAAGTTTTCCAGATGATTCCATGGTTTAGCCAAACTTTGTGATTCACTGCTAAATCTATCAGCTAATAAGACTGGGGATTCATTTTTATGGCTGTAAATAAGAACGCCTAGGAAACTACTCCGTCAGTAAACATTTATTACATTTATTAAGCATCTAGAACGTATATTGCTCTCTTCTACATGAAATGGAAGAGTCTTTTAAAAACACAGTGTGAGCCAGGCTCGGTGGCTCAATTTGTAATCCCGCGCCTTTGGGAGGCTGAGGTGAGTGGATTGCCTGAGCCCGCGGGTTCGAGACCCGCCTGGGCAGCGAGACCTCACCTCTACAATAAATCAAAAACTCAGCCAGGCATGGTGGCACATGCCTGTAATTCCGGCTACTCGGAAGGCTGAGGCAGAAGGATCGCCGGAGCCCAAGAGGTCAAGGCTGCGGTGGCCAGGAGCGGCCACTGCACTCCAGTCTGGGCGACAGAGTGAGACTCCAACTCAAAAAAAAAAAACAAAACCACAGTGTGTGTTCTGAGGAAACCATACATATAGGAAAATGCCCTCATTGTAGTTTTGATTTGCATTTCCCTAGTTATGAGTGATCTGGGTGTATTTTCATATACAGGTCAGCCATTTGTATGTCTTCTTTTGAGAAATGTCTATTCAAGTCCTTTGCCCATTTTTTATTCGGTTGTTTTCTTGTGAATGAGTTGTTTGAGTTCCTTATATATTTTTATATTAACTCATTCTTGGATGTATGGTTTGCAAATATTTTCTCCTGTTTTATAGGTTATCTCTTCATTCTTGATTGTTGCTTTTTTCTTTGCAGAAATTTTCAATTTGATACAATCCTATTAGTCTATTTTTGCCTGTGTTGCCTATGCTTTTGAAGTCATATCCAAAAAATTATTGCCCAGATCAATCCCCAGAAACTTTTTCCTTATGTTTTCTTAGAGTAGTTTTACAGTTTTAGTTCTTACATTTAATTCTTTACTCCATTTTATGTTGGCTTTTGTGTAGTTGTAAGATGAGTCCCACTTCATTCTTCTGCATATAAATATCCAGTTTTCCCTACACCATTTATTGAAGAGAGAATCCTTTCTCCATTTTGTGTTCTTGTTGTCTTTGTCAAAGATGAATTGACTACAATACATAGATTTACTTTGTTCCATTGATCTATATGTCTGTTTTTATGTTAATATCATACTGTTGATTACTATAGCTTTGTAGCATATTCTAAAATCAGATGTTTCCATCTTTGTACTTTTTGTTCAAATTGCTTTGACTAGGGTTTTCTGTAGTTCTGTACAAATTTTAGGATTTTTTTTCTATTTCTGTGAAAAAATATCATTGGAAATTTGATATGGATTGCATTAAATCTATAGATTGCTTTGGATAATATGGACCTTCCGACAATAATAATGCCTCCTATCCATAAACATGAGCTATTTTTCCATGTATTTGTTTCTTCAATTTTTTGCATCCATGTTTTATAGTTTTAAGTGTACAGATCTTTTATCTTATTGGCTAAATTTATTTCTAAGTATTGGAGGGGAGATGCTATTGTAAACAAACTTTTTATTTCCTTTACAGTTAGTTTCTTTTTAGTGTATACACATGCTATTGATTTTTGTATGTTGGTTTTTTTATTTTGCAACATCACTGCATTTGTTTATTATAGTTTCAATGAAATACTACTCAACCTTAAAAAAGAAGGAAACTGTCATTTGTAACAGCATAGATAAACCTGTAGGATATTAAGCGAAATAAATCAGGCACAGAGACAAATACTGCACCATCTCACTTACATGTAAAATCTAAAAAAGTCAAACTCATAGAAGCAGAGTGTAGAATGGTGGTTACCAGGGCACAGGGGTGGGGATATGGGAATATATTGCTCAAAGGATACAAAATTTCAGCTGGTATGAATAAGTTCAAGAAATCGATTGTACAACATGGTGACTATAGGTGATGTATTATGTACTTGAAAATTGCTAATAGAGTAGCTCTTAAGTGTTCTCAGCACCAAAATATAAGTATGTGAGATGATGTATTAATTAACTTCATTTAATCATTTTACAATGTATGCATACTTCAAAACATCATCTTGTATACCATAAATATACACAATCTCATATTAGCCAATTATACCTTAATAAAGTTGGGAAGGCAAAATCTGAAAAGTTAACAATCAATTCTTGCAAGTAGATAGAACATGGCTCCAGGACACCATTGGGTAGTACATTTGGGTAGAACCCAGGTTTCAGTATGTTTTAAAGTTTGTCCAATATGGGTCTGAGATTGAGAACCACTGGACTACAGAAACCAGAGTTATCTGGGAGTGTTGGATATCCTGGGACAAAACAAACAACAGGCTCGGTGACCCTGTAATCCCTGTAATCCTGTAATCAGCCTGTAATCCCACACCTTTGGGAGGCTGAGGTGAGTGGATTGCCTGAGTCCACGGGTTTGAGACCCACCTGGGCAGCGAGACCTCATCTCTACAATAAATAAAAAAATCAGCCGGGTGTGGTAGTGCATGCCTGTAATTCCGGCTACTCGGAAGGCTGAGGCGGAAGGATCGCCGGAGCCCAGCAGGTCGAGGCTGCAGTGGCCGGGAGCGGCCACTGCACTCCAGTGTGGGCGACAGAGTGAGACTCCAACTCAAAAAAAAACAAAACAGCAAAGTCTATGTAAAACACAGAAAAGAAAGGGAAGAGAGTAATGAAGAAAACACCCCCCTGGGGATGCAGTGCAGAACCAGTTAGTCACGGCTGGGGTAGCAAGACCAGTCATCCCATTAGAACACATCTATTCTTCATCAGGGTTTTAGAATGCCAGTGCCACAGATGCTTTTGCTGACTGCTTTTCAAAGAATTAAAAAGATGCATTTTGATTAAAAATAATTGCCTCCCATGTGTAATAATTAAACAGCTAATCTCTTACCAATACTGAGAATTGCTGAGGATACAGTTTATTCCAAACTAATAAAAAACAAACTAGGTTTCCAATCAAATGTATTACTTGGGTTGACTCTCACTCTCCTCTCATTACTTCAACAAGATCCACACTGTGTAGGGGTACGGGAGCTGAGTCACAAGAGACAAACAGGAGAGGGAGTGACGTGAAATGGGCCTGGGCAAGTTAATCCTGTCTATTTCTATGGGAAAAAAAAAGTCATTGGAATTTTGATAAGGATTGTCTTGACTCCATAGATTGCTCTGGATAATATGGACCTTTGAACAATCATAATGCCTCCTATCCATAAAGCTCATGTTCTGCTCAGTAATACTGGGAATCATACCCCTTCCTGCAAGGCTACCATGACAAGAGACTGAGATAGCACATGGGAAACACATAGTATATTGCAAGACATTCAATAAATTGTAATTATAGGAATCCAAAAATATGTGTAGTCATGGATAGCAACCACCTTTTAAGAATTTAATTGTATCATCATAGACTCTTCCACTGTTTCATCTGTCTTCTTAATCTGAATTAAAAATTTTTTCTTCAGATTCCCAAGTTGCCCATGTGGTGACAGAGGATTAGGAGGAAACACAGTTGGTCTGAGCCCTGACCAAGTAAGAGGGACAGAGAACAAACCAGGGATGCCTGAGTCCTACCCACCCTTGCCCAAGCACCAATTTTTGAACATCTCAGTGGTGGTGGCTGACCAGTATAACACCACAGATTCCAACAGTAGCAGACACACTTCTTAGAAACTTTTTTATTGTTTTGTTGAGTAAGACTCTATGTCTGAGCCCTAAATCTATCCCTTTCCGTTCTTTCTATCACTATATTACCTTAAATGACTACCTTTACAATGTGAGAGCTGTCCTAACAGCCAAACATGCCCACTGCTGCCTCATTTCTGTTCCATCTCAAACTACATCCCAGTTCCCTGTATAGTCATTATGCTAAGCCACTAGTCACAGAGAACTCCCTTCTAGCCAACTCATATTTATTTTGAATATCTCTTAAAATAAATAATCATCCATTTTAATGGTCTTCTTGCTCATTCAAGGCCCAAGGGCCAGTTCAATTCAAAAGGTAATCAGTATAAACTGAGATGATGTTGTCTGATTTATACATAACAATTATATGTGTGATTATTTTCAACAGGAAGAATTCAGTTATGGGGACATCCTATTGCGGTAGACTGGGCAGAACCGGAAGTAGAAGTTGATGAAGACACAATGTCCTCAGTGAAAATCCTATATGTAAGAAACCTTATGCTGTCTACCACTGAAGAAATGATTGAAAAGGAATTCAACAATATTAAACCAGGTAGGACATACATATAAGATTGCTTTTTCAAAACATACTTTAAAAGTACTTATGCTTGATGTGATTTCCCATACTTTTAATACCTTTTATTTAGATCATTCTCACAATTGCACGCAGACTACTCAAACTATATTCCCATCTTTGGATTAGAAAATAGGAACATATGGTCCTACAACATTTATCAATATTTTAGTTTTACACTTATCTGTGTGATTATTGAATGAATAAATATTTTCTTCACTAAACTACAAATTCCATGAGTCTTTTTTTTCTCTTATTGTCTTCTCAGTCCTCAGACATTCATTCTCTGGGCCTGAGGTACAATGATTGTTCAATAAATATATACCATGTTCAAGAATGCATGGCCATAACTATTGGTCTAATGCAGGGCTCCTCAACCTCGGCACTATTGTCATTTGGAACAGATAATTTTTGGTTTTAGGGGCCTAACCAGTGGATCATAGAACATTTAGCAGCATCCTAGGACCCTACCCAGGAGATACTAGTAGCAATCCTCCAGAGGTAAAAACCAAAAATGCCTCCAGACATTATCAAATGTACCCTGGAGGTGGGCAGATTGTCCCCAGCTAAGAACCACTGGTTCCAATATAACTTTAGATGTATAAGGAAGGAGGTAACAATCCTAGGAAACTCACTTGAGTGAAGAGGAAAAGAAAGGAATAGAGGGAAGGTGGAAGGAGATAATTAGTTTCTACTCATCTTGTCAAAATTCTTCAGTATCAATTCTAAGCCATAAGATTGACTCCCTATCTCTTTTTTCTTGAATAGGAGCTACAACACTGAAACATGTGACACATTTTGAGAAGCAATGGCCAGATGAGCATTTCCCAGAACCAGTTCACAATATTCATTCTACACACTTTTAGCAGATGTTACCAATAAAAGGGCCCCATTTTACTCACACGTACTCCATAAATATGTAAAATATTGTGTATCAATAAGAGAGGAAAAAAACTCCATAGTCAAATAAGTTTGTAAACATCAGATTCTGCAAAATTAAACAGATTTATTTATTAGGAGACTTATCAGCCTAACCTTCTAATGTGCTTTGAAAGCCCCCAAGAAGTGATATAGTATGCCCTATTTCCCAGACTTTTGGAGCATGGATCTTTTTTGGCAGATTATCTTTGTGGGATTAGTGTGTCTTGGAACACTCTTTGCAGTGTTGGCCTGGGGTTATCACAGTAGAAACGTCCTTCCATAAGTGGGAATTTCGCAGTCTCAAGGCAAACTTTAGATGGTGGATAAGCACAGGCCATGGTGCCATCAAGTTAAAGCTATCCAAGAATACGTACTTCACATATTCATGTTGTACCAACTCTGGGTACTAGATTAGGTATAACAGAATGATAAGTTGATGATTCGCTATGAAGTAATTAGTAAGAATGTCATTTCTCTCTCTTTTTTTTATTTTTTTTGAGTTGGAGTCTCACTCTGTCACCCAGACTGGAGTGCAGTGGCCACTCCTGCTGCCACCGCAGCCTCGACCTGCTGGGCTGTGGCGATCCTTCCACCTCAGCCTTCCAAGTAGCTGAAACTACAGACATGTGCTACCACGCCCGGTTAATTTTTGATTTACTGTAGAGATGAGGTCTTGCCAAGTTCCCTGGGCAGGTCTCGAACCTGCGGGGGTCAGGCAATTGACTCACCTCGGCCTCCCAAAGCGCGGGATTACAGGCTGAGCCACTGAGCCCGGCTCATTTCTCTCTTTTTAAAGATGCACAAAAGGTCTTTCTCAGCCTTAGGAGCTCTCCCTCCCACTCTCCCCGATAATTTAGTATAGCAGTGTGGCTCCATACCAGCAGCTGTGAATCCATGACTCATGTAGAAACTGCAAATGATTGACTCACTATGTTCCAGGCATTACAGAGGCCACTTCTACAGAATGTGTTATTTAGTCATCACAACAATCTTATAATGTAGGTGTCTTTATTAGTATTAGCTCCAGTATTTTCTAGATAAGAAAACCAGGACCCAGAGGAGTTAGGTAGCTTGCCTAAAGTCACAGTTAGCAGGTGGCTGATCCTGGATTTGAATCCAGGTCTGGTTAAGGGCATATTCTTAACAAATTTACTACTCCATTGTCCCATCCTTATTCCACTCACTCACTTATTCAATTGTTGTTCCTTCAGAAATTTCTATATGCCAGTTGAAAGGAACTAACAATTATGATATATATGTGTGGGAAGAGTTTAGATATTCCAGAAAAAGAAACAATAGAACACTCTGCTCTTGGAGTGTAGAGAAGACTCATGTTTCAAAGTGACACGTAAGCTGAGATCTGAATGTTGATGCAGTTGTACACATAAGAACTGATATGTGTTTAAATATTGCTCTCTATCCTCCCCCATTCTGCGCTGACTTTCTATCTTCCCAGAGTGAACAATACTTATTTTTATCTAATTAAAATAATAACCCCTTTTTATCCAGATAGGGCTAGAATGAGAAATGACTCTGATAGTCATTAGCTATGAGCTTTCCCAGTCTGCATATTGGTATATTGAAGAGAGACATGTGCCTGGACCCTATTAATTATAGTGAAAACAATAAATTTCATATCTGTTTCTCTTTCTCTCTCTCTCTCTCTCTCTCTCTCTCTCTCTCTCTCTCTCTCTCTCTGTCTCTGTCTGTCTGTCTCTTTGCTCTTTCACTCTCTCTTCCTCTTGGACTAAAATGTGTCTAGCAATTTCAGGGCACATTCTGAGGCTAGTAGCATAATTCTCCGGGCTCTTTAATGTTGTGTGGCTTGGTCTCTTTGACTCTCAGCAGACACATATGAGTTGCAGAGAATGAGCAACTAGCAGACATCTGCATTGAGAGGGAAAAAGAGTTAACCAGGTTCATTTCCAATGGAAAGGATGGATTGTATTGAGGCTATCCTTACCCAGAAAATTTTGTGGAAAAACACAGGAAAACGACTTTTTAAAAATTCTATTTAAAGTTTAGATCCCTCTGAGAAACCTGCATATTCCTTCTAAATATTTGACCAGAAATCATTTTAACCATGATTACTCTGAAAAGTATATGATGATGCTATTCAGAGAAACAAAAGACAAGCAGAACACAAATTGGGACCTGCAAATGTTCTTCCCAGTGTAGCCAAGGGATATCGGCTGAATTTCCAATTATAGGCGTTCTGCAAAATCTGATTTTTCTACAGCAGTTCAGCAACATAAGAATCACCTAAAGGGTTTGTTAAAACACTGATATCTTGCCCTGTCTGGGGTGAGCCCAAGTGTCTGAATTTTTATTTAGTACCCAAATGAAGCTGATCCTGAGTCTCTGATAATCTTCCCCTCCGTAGGCAGGTGTGTTTCTCTTCAGGTAATTGATGTGTAACTGACAAATTAATAACACAGTAACATTTTTCCAATTCCCTGTATTATGATTCTTCTTTGCTAGTGGATGGTCCACTAATAGTAACCACGAATAGGGCCTCATTCTATGCTAAGTGATGATAAATTGGTGAACTCCTATGCAATAAAGAAGGAACATATTCAAATAAGCTATGTGGTGAATCCTATTGTAGAGAAAGCCAGTTTCTATGAGGCAAACTCTAACTTTCTAATTTTTCTGTTTTATGAGGCTAAATTTTTTATATATGGAATTTTCCAAAAGCAAGTGCTATTTAAAAATGCAAGATAATTTCAAATATCTGCAGGCAGAATTTCAGAACACCTAAATTCCTTACCATCTGAAATGCCATCCAATTGGTATGGATGATAGAAGTTGGAGTGTGAATTGACTGATAATATTTCCACATTTCATCCATATATTTATTGAATTGGCCCTGTGTCCAAGACAATAGGCAGGAACTAGGTGAAGATAATACCAAGATGTTTCTAAAGCAAATCTTGTTCTCAGGGAGATAAAAGAATAGGGGAGTCTAGGGTGAGAATGACACTGAAGTCTGAACAGAGTAAAGACTGGAAAGGTGGCAGTCATCATTGGCCAACCTCTTCCTTCTTAATTAACAAGACTAGTCATGGAGCTGAGTCATGATAATCACCCCACCTGAAACTGAAGGGAACAAAAAAAAACACAATGGACATTCAGTTAATTATATGTCCCATGCTTCATGGTCTCAGATACCTTTATTTATTATATCAGTCTGGGCAGACAATTTTGCTCTGACTGATCATTATTGTAAGAAGTCAAGGATTGAATGCTAAAGGAAGTAAAAGAGAAGTATCACAATGTTTTTGAATTATCCTTACATGACAGGCCTACTATTATTCCAAGGGAAGGTAATTCATAATCGTTGAACCATGTGGTAGAATTGAAATTCTAATTGTCTTTGTAGCCTTGAATCTTAAAGGACAATGAAACTCTGATGTGGAAAAAAAGGAGAGAATTTTCGTCTCTTCTTTTTCTCCCAGGCATAATGTGTCATCTTATGGTTCTCAGCTGTTCTTTCAGAAATAACTTTTTTGGTTTTTTTTTTTACTTAAAGAGTATTAGATAAGGATATGGTTCTCACCTCTAGCTGTGTGGACTCATAAATCTTATTGCCTTGCCAGAACTGTAATTTCCTAATATTTAAGTTTAAAATAAATAAAGTAAAATCAAATAAAGAAATTTTTTTTTTTTTAGTTTAAAGATATGGGATACAATTCAGAATTGGGTATACAAGTGGTCATCATACAGGTAAAGTCTGGGCCTTCCCTTCATCCCCACTTTGCCTGGTTTGAGATCAGGTACCCTTATTGATGTTCTGTTCCCCACCACCACCACCCTGGCAGTATCCTGCTATTGCCAATCCCTTTCTTATAGTATTATGGCAAATGTTCGGGGTCTACTTATGAGTGAGAACATGTGATACTTTGTTCTTTGTTTCTGTGATAGATCATTGTATGACAAACTCTAAATCCATCCAAGTGCTGTGAAGTCCATGTTTGTCCTTCTTTGTGGCTATGTAATATTCCATTGTGTATATGTACCACATTTTTTTGATCCAGTCCAGTTTCGATGGGCAAAATGGTTTGTTCCATGTTTTTGCTATTGTGAATAGTGCTGCAACAAACATGCATTGCAGGTATCTTTTGTAGAATGATTTGAGTTCCTCTGGGTATATTCCCAGTAGAGGGATTGCTAAGTCACATGGAAGGTCAATTTCTAGTTCTTTTAGAAATTGCCACACTGCTTTCCAAAGAGGTTGCACTAGTTTGCATTCCTACGAGCAGTGTAGAAGTGTTCCTTTTCTCTACAAATTCGCCAGCATCTGTTGTTGTTTGTTTTATTAAATGATGGCCATTCTTACTGGGATTAGGTGGTATCTCAATGTGGTTTTTATTTGCATTTCTCTGATGATTAGTGAGGTTGAGCACTTTTTCATTGTCTATTGGCTGCCCATATAGCTTCTTTTGAAAAGTGTCTGTTACTGTCTTTTGCCCACTTTTTAAATGAGGCTGTTTGTTTTTTCCCTTTTGGCACATTTGAGTTCCTTGCAGCCTAGATGTTAGGCCTTTGTCAGATATACAGTTGGCAAATATTTTTTCCCATTCTGTGGGCTGTCTCCCCACTCTCTTGATGGTTTTTTTTTTTTGCTTTGTAGAAGTTTTTCAGTTTGATAAGATCCCACTTGTCAGCTGGGTTCGGTGGCTCAGCCTGTAATGCTGCACCTTTGGGAGGCTGAGGTGAGTGGATTGCCTGAGCCCGCGGGTTTGAGATCTGCCTGGGCAGCGAGACCTCATCTCTACAATAAAAAAAAAAATCAACGAGTGTGGTAGCGCATGCCTGGAATTCCGGTTACTTGGAAGGCTGAGGCAGAAGGATCGCTGGAGCCCAGTAGGTGAGGCTGCGGTGACCGGGAGTGGCCACTGCACTCCAGTCTGTGCTGAAGTCCAGCTCCAGGAGAGAGTCAGGGCTTGAGATGGGAGAATCCGGAAGCAGCAAAAAAGAAAAGATGAAAACAACAGGAATCCTCTTCCTGGGGAGAGCTCAAGATTCTGCCAGTTTTTATTTATTTTTCACAAGCTTATATAGGTTTTCCACTCAGCCCTGTACCCACAAATGTATCTTATGTTGCTAACCAATGCCCATGTACATCCTTTTTGCACTCACAATAAGGTTGACCTTTAACAATTTCAACCACAGATGGTGCTTTTCTTAAGTCAAACATTTATGAACGTCCTGGTTTTCTTCCTAACTTTCTCATAACTATTTACTATTATAGGCCTATAATATCCTTACCCTAAAAAGCTAAACCTTAACCCTAAGTCTTATTTAACTTACTTACTACTATATATTTATTTCTATTAATCTTATTTCTATCCTTATGTCCCTATATTTTCTTAACTATCACTTATACTATTATATATCTCTTATCTTACTAGTTTATCTTATCTTACTATCTTATTATTAATAT